TTTCAGAAAGTTTCGGTTCAATTCAATTGCAGAAAAAGACGAACCGATCCCACCTCTGGTGCCCACTGGAAAATTTTATCATGCAGACGAACGTTTATTCTCAACTGAACCTAATGGAAAGTCATTCTCGAAAATGTCCTCTGCCATCGATGATGTCATGATGACAAAAAGCATACGATCTTTCAACAATTTCTCCAATTTAGCAGCTAGAGATCAATAACTAGACTATGCCTTTATGCATAAAAAAAGAAACGAATACATTTTTTTGTACTATCCTATTGGGATTCCCGATAGCTATATAACATCGAGCTGACCCATGATATGTGCGTTTATCTTTCAAATAAACATAGATATATGTGATACACACTGTATCATACATATAGAAAAAGAAGAAAAAGAACTTTAAGTATGTGACGTGTTTGCTTCTGTCGATCTTGTATTGAAAATAAACTGAATTCGATGTTTCTCTAATCACTAACTTTAGGTATTTATCAGTCATACAAATTGTAATATATGACTGTTGTATGCTTCGTTATATGGATACGCATTATTCTTAGTCGTCAATAATAAGAAACGGTGTCCTTTCAGTCTCAGTCCTCTCAACCGTGGCTTCCTAAATGCGACCGAAATTTAAGCCAATTAGTCTAAAAGTGGTCGCAATTTGGAACGAGTAAATTTATATTATTCTAAATTGCGGCCACTTTTTAATTAGTGAGTAATCAACAATCGTGATTTAAAATATACATATATAAATTAGTCGCTTTTTAGACAAAATAGAACTAGAAACACATATAAGAAAAATTGATAACTATATACTTATGTATATATATAGTTATACTTATGCGCAGCTATGAAAAAAACTATATCAATAAAGAATTTAGTCTTCGTCAGTACTATCTCTGGCATCTTTTATAACGTCTGTATCTTCTTTCTTTGATCCCTAGCTGACATTTGGTCGAGGTTGCCCTCGAAGCCGGTATGCTGCTGTGGGTGCCAATGGGTTTCGGGTTTCGTTTAGCAGTCGTTTCCATGCAAGGCGGTCTGTGACCAAGTTTCTGGCCTCGTCTAGGTTGAGTCGCCGATTCTTTAGATTCTCTTCGACCTTCTTATATCTAAAAATGGCTTCTATATTTATATTATCAATAAGACAGAACTCCTGATCAAATTTTGCAACGACTAATCATTCTATTAAATATTCTTTTGCAAGAAGTAATCATTAGGATATGTTTTACTGATTATTAATCAAAATTAATCATTTTACTCTAGGAGTTGCTTCTTATTCTGACGTTCGTATATAGTCATCAATTTTTCTTATATATGTTTCTAGTTCTATTACTATACTTGACCTAATTGATTATTTCATAACATTTCTGTTAACTGTTTATTACAGGCACTTTACGTAAAAAATATAATCTTGATTAAAAAATACAAGTTATTCGAACATTTTATTATCAAGAATCATTAACCTGAAAACTATAGGCCATTGGATACTATGAGCTCTGCAGATCACGCATAACCTGTCCTGTCCTGGCAGGTTAGGACAGGTTTAGGTTACGACTTCACAGTTCGGGATAGGTTATAGGTTACAAAAATTTTTACAGGACAAGTTACAGGTTACACTACCGGTACCCTGTTTTCAACCTATAAAAAAAATATTAAGCGTCATCTGTAAACAGGAAGAAATAAGAACTAGGAAAATATTTTTTATTAGTAAAAAAAGAAATTAGTGCATCAGGAAGAGTATTGGAAATATGAAGATAGTGGTTGAATCCAGATGTTGTTGACGATATATTGATTAGAAATTTCAGAGATGTGTGATCTGGTTATGAAAAAGTTGTAACCTGCAGGACTCAATTGTGTACTGCAAATATAGTAATATTTTCATTCTTGAGCAATAAGATCAACGGCCATCAATTGTACTCGTCCTTTTGCTAATGAATTCGGACATTTGTTTTTCGAAAACTTTTGGCACAGTAAACCTTTTTCAGGTCTTGACTTTTGAACGGTGAAAACCACAGACCTGTATCACTTCTCATTCAAAAGTTATGCCAAAAATAGCTATGAATTGCATGTAAACATCTCTATATTGCAGTATCAAATATGCCATCAGCACGTACATAAGGTGGCAGTGGTCACGTAAAAAAATGATGTCAGTCATTACCGAACATTGTTAAATGATTGATGCTTTTACGTGACAAAATGAGATTATTGTTTAGAAAAGTAAGAAAGAAAACATCTATATTGATAACAAAAATAGAGAGTGAGAGAATGAGAGAGAGAAAAAGAGAGAATTTAACATAGTGTAAAATGAAATCTCATTGAAAAGAATGGCTGATGAATGAAAAAACAACTACCTTCACTGGGAAATCGATTTAGACCATGAGAAAAATTTCGGTATCGATACTACCGAATACTCTGTGCCAGTATCGACAATTGACCAATGCCGAAAAAAACCATTTTTCTGACCGAAAGTCGGTTTTCGTCAACTCATCAACATATTGCATGGACTGTCGACTTCTAGAACTTTCGTAACTTTCTATCCTACGTTCGCTTTTTGAAACTTCTAGGTTGGCGAAATCACAATGTGGAGATTGACTTTGGGATTTTACAAAATCGTTTATCTTCGAATGGTATCCGCTGACTTTTCCGCCTATTCAACTTGAAATACATACGAAAAAGCCACAGACAGAACATTTAGCAATCGTCTGAGTTAATTTGTAGATCTAAATGCCTTTAAAATTTAATATAAATTTAATCTTTGCAGTTATCACGCAACATTGTAGAAGTTTACTGTTTAGACAGCTTCATTTTGATGTTTGCACCGTCTAGAATTCTTGAGCAACTCAATATTTTCGACTGAAATTTTATCATGTTAGTTTCACATAATAGTCTTTGATTTTTCAGGATTTTTGTCTCAATCAAACACGTTGTAAAAAAACAAGATTTATTGAGAAGATGCCATTAATATAGTGTCAGTAATCCGTTTTCGTTTTGTCTAACTGTCTGTGAGTTATAATAGAGTGATAGATCTACTTCAAATGTATGTTAGATTTCAAAACTCCTCTCATAATATGCAAAATAACTCTTCATCACAATGTATTTCAGTAGAAATGAGAATGTGAGAATTAAGCGTTAAAGAAGTGAACTCATACATATTGATAACATCCCCGGAATGTCTGATATTAACAAAAATACAATCAATGAATTTAAACTCATTGAAAGTTATTGAAGATTTGCTATCGATGTGCGCTATTTGCAAGCATAAACAAATAATAAAGATGTACAGAAACTGTATAGTGGCGTACGTATAGGGGCTCTAAGAAATAATCCAACGTGCTTTAATGAAGAGTAAAAATGGACAATTGATGTATTTCGTTTAAACGATGACTGAATTGAATATAAAAAACAATATCAACATTTTAATGTTTCAACACAATGACAAAGCATAGTCTCCTACCATTCTCTTCATCATCATTACGATAAGTAACAATGTAAAAACGACATTTTTTGCATAGGTATGATGATGAGATATCAATATTGTTCTGGTTTGATAAGAATTTTCTTTTTCTCAAGTAAAATAAACATACAGAAAAAAGGTAGAACGTAGATAACAAACATGATCTAGAAGCAACCCAAATTATTTATATACGGAATATACTCTTCAGTAAAACGGTACTTTCTTCACCAACATTCAGCATTCAAGTCACTTTTTTCTTCAACGGTGAGCAACAATATTTTTCTAATAGTTTTTCTTTAAACTCAGAATGGGTAATGCATTTAAAGGAACTTAGATAATTTTTCGAACATAAGTTATAGAAGAGCCTTTTACTCTAAATGAGATATAGTTAGTTACAATATTATTGTTATTTAGATGAAAGCGTTAACAGTTGCACTTGTCGCCGTTCTTTTTGGTTGTGTATTTGGTTTGGATCAAACGTTAACAAAACACTGGAAATTATGGAAAGAATTACATTCAAAAAAATATTTTGATGCTGAAGAACATGTTCGGTAAGTTATTATAGTTTATACGAACTTTCAAACCTACATATAAAACTTTTGATTGTTTTAGTCGATCAGTATGGGAAAGTAATTTAAATTTGGTTCAAACACATAACTTACAAGCGGATTTGGGACAACATACACATTGGTTAAAAATGAACAAATTTGCTGACTTGGTTAGTTCATTTGTTTGATGATCTAGTTAAACAATAGTCATATTTTTTTACCTTTATTGCGTTATTATAGACATCTGAAGAATTTGTTAAACAAATGAACGGATTCAATATGTCATTACGTACAAATCAACAAATGGATCGTCATGAATTTACACGATCATCAAATGTCAAACTTCCAGACACTGTTGATTGGAGAGATCAAGGATATGTTACCGATGTGAAAGATCAAGGACAATGTGGTAAGTATTTTAGAAAATAAATTATTTATTAATGTGTCAAAAATTATATGACTATAACACTTTCTATTGCATAGGTTCATGTTGGGCATTTAGCGCCACCGGTAGTTTGGAAGGACAACATTTTAAACAAGCAAAAATGTTAAACTCATTATCCGAACAAAATTTAGTTGATTGTTCAACAGCACAAGGTAATGATTTTGAATAACTTTTATTTTCTTCTAATTATTTGGTTTGTTATTTCAGGCAATCAAGGTTGCAATGGTGGATTAATGGATCAAGCATTTCAATATATTAAAGAGAATATGGGTATTGACACTGAAGATTCATATCCATATGAAGCTGTTGTAAGTGTAAAAACAGCATATCATACATTAAAAGACAAAAATGAACTAATATAATATAATCATATAGGATAACCAATGTCGTTTCAAAAAAGACACTATTGGTGCTACAGACACCGGTTTCACTGATATCAAAACAAAAGATGAAGAAGCGTTACAAGAAGCTGTTGCAACAGTTGGACCAATCTCTGTATGTTTATTCTAAAATCTAATTCAGTAAATAATTAAACAAATGTTTTTATTTCTCTTTTAGGTTGCTGTACGTATCAAAATCGACTTTTACTAATGTTTATAGTTCGTAATAGTGTCATTCAATATTCTATCTTTTCTAATTTTTGTTTTTAAGATTGATGCCAGTCATCCTAGCTTTCAATTATATTCACATGGTGGTATGTATTCGTTTTCTTGTTAGAATAAATACTGACAAAAAAAATTTCTATTAACTTTATTTTTATTTTGTATTTTTTAGTCTACAACGAAATTTTCTGCTCTCAAATTCGTCTTGATCACGGTGTGTTAGCCGTTGGTTATGGAACAGATAGTGGTAAAGATTATTGGCTCGTCAAAAACAGGTAAGTCAATCATATTGACATAACAGTTGCATATTAGTAACTCTTGTTTTACTCTCTTATAGCTGGGGTAAAGGATGGGGTATGGATGGTTACATCAAAATGTCACGAAACAAACGAAACCAATGTGGTATTGCAACAGCTGCCTCCTACCCAATGGTTTAAACATTTTCATTTTTTCAACATACTGTAAAATATACAGTTTTTTTTTTAAACATATATTTATACAAATAAATATTTCATTTGCTTAAACATTTCGTTATTCTACAAAGATTTCAATGGCCAACTGTTTAAACAAATATCCACTATTTTCTTTCTAATATATAGAAACGATCCGAGTCATACCATTTTTATATTATAATAGAAATAAGTCTCCTAACAAACTCTAATAAAACTTTGTTTTTTGTAGGAATGAAAACAAAAAAAAAAGAGTTTTTAGTTAGTCAACATTATGGTTAGATGTTAATTGAAGTTCGAAAGTATTTGATTAAAAAAGTTGAGAGGAGTTTAAAAATTTTTCTGTACTTTATCACTACATCATTCAAAAAAGAAAAAGATTATCTAAACTCAAGTTTGACATTCGTATCACATTTTATGATTATCAGTCTATATGATGAGACCAGACATAAACCATCTTTTGGCTTAAAAATACTTCCTCTCTATTGATTAGTAAAAGAAAACCTAACTAGACGACAGTTTTTTTTTTATATAAATATACTATGTCAAATGCCTTCTTATCCCTACAACATGTACTTAGTCGAATGAACAAATTTTCTGTTTTCTTTGATGTGCATTATTAGATTACTTAAAATAAAGAAAAAGAAAGAAAACCCGTTGGTCTAGATAAATATAAGGGATTACTCTCTTTTTTTCCCTCATTCTTTTTATATAAGCTAATTAGTTAAATTTCTATAGATATTATATTGAACGTATATATATTGTGGGATAAATAGATATACATATATACAGTGACGATGCATTTCATAATAATCAAGGGATAAACGATTAATCAATCATTTTTTATTTATTGGTAAAGAAAATGACGATAAAAAGAAAAGACCATTCCAAATTAAAAAATATGTTTATTTTGTTAGGGAAAAAAAAATAACTAAATCTAAACAATAATAGATAACAGACGAAGAGAAAAAAAAAACAGAATTGAGAAACAAAAACTAGAATGGAAAGGAAAAGAAACAGATATCTATATCTCTCACAATTACATTTCTGTCTGGTCACGTATTGCATTCCAAAGCACATTTTTGTGTATGTTTTTAGTAAAAAGAAAAGAAAAAAAAAATGAACGTGATGTTAGAGAGAAATAGACACAATTGAAAATTATTATTACAATAATATTTGTTGTTGTTATTATTAAAAGTGGTGTATTCGGTAATAGTCGCTAGAATGACTATCTAGATGGAGATATATGTTGATTTAATCTAAACGGAAATTAATGTTACGAAAAACAGAGACCGAGAAATAGGAAAAAACGCAAAAATTAAATTATTACTAGAGATTTTTTATTCATGACAAGTAAGAAATTACAATCAGTTATGTTTGCATTCCACTGTTTTTCAAATATTTTTCTTTTATTTACTTTCGTTATTTGTTATGCTAAATATTTACAGACAGACAGAGAGAGAGAGAGAGAGGTTAAGTAAGAATTCAAATTAAAATGATGCTTTTTAGTATTTTATTTTATTCTGATTTTTAAATAGTGCAAAAAGTCATCTTATATTCGAGATAATAAAGAAACAACAATCCAAACATTAAAATTCTACAATTCGTATTTGTTTTTAGATTTGTTAAATTATCATGTCTGTTATAACTGATTTACTTGTATTTAATGGTATGTCTAATTCAACAAAACCTACTCTATTGTCAATAATTTCTGACAGTGATGAGAATGATCATTCTCATCTATGGATTGATGATCATTTACCATTTGGTTCACACGATCATTCAATTCGTTTAGAATATATTTCATTTGTAATTACAATATTAGCATTTATTATCGGAATAACAGGAAATTTATTTCTTTTAATTGGTAATGGTTATGTATTACGTACATCTCGTCCAAAATCTCGTACATTTGAAAATTTTCTCATTGAAATAACATGTTTTGATACAATGGTTTTAATTTATCATTTAATTAATAATATTATAAGATATAAAACTTCATTAAGTACAACGACAATGGAATCCATGACTGGTCTTATTAATATTTCAACATTTTGTTGTAAATTAATGACCTATGTTATTCGTATATCAATGTTAATGAGTCATTGGCTTATCGTTTTATTATTACTTAATCGTCTACTATTAGTTTATTCTAAATTTCAATATGCATTAGCCATTGTTAATGCTAAATATGCTGTATTAGGCATGTTATTTTTATTTAGTTTATTTAATGTTCCAACAATTGAGTCAATGTCATTTAATGAACCAATTATATTTTCTATAAATGAGACAACAAATTTTACATTTTATAGAAATTGTCTTGTTAATTCAGAAATGGATTTAGAGTCATCATTTAAATCATTTGTTGTCTTTATTAATGTATTTTTATTTAATGGTTTTGGTCTTATATTACCAACAATACTTATATTATTATTATCATTAGCTTTATTTCGTAAAGGATATAATATATGGTATCAATTAAATAATCGTACATCATCAACAGAAAATATTTGTCTAACATATGATTCACCAATTGTAGAATTTTTAAAAACATATAATTCTGCTTTTTCAATTGGTATTATATTTTTTATATTATCAGTACCATGTAAAATATTACGTTTAATAATAATTACAACAAATTCAACAACAATATTAATTAATTCTCATAGACATTTAAGTACAATTGGTCAAATATTTGAATTATCATTATATATTTATAAATTTTATATTTATATTTTTGTATCAAGACGTTTTCGTTGTGCACTTAAATATTTATTAAAACATCGTCAATCAACAATAATCGCAAGAAATTTAAATCGTATTTATATTAGTCAATCATATGATTCTGTACCATTTGACACATTATATAAACATTTACAAACAACTGAATTTGATTCACCAATTAATTTATCATCAAGTAGAAGAAGTTCATATAAAACACGTTCAAGTGTATCAAGTAGAAAAACAAGAGAAGATGAAATATCATTGTAAATATAAAGATTATTTTATAGATTTGTTTTATTTAATCTAATCAAATATCTGTTCTATGTCAAATATAATTAAATATGTAAAGCATGACAATATATATATGAGAAAAATGACTATTGTCGATTGTATTTTTAACAACAATATTAAGAATTAGTTAGAAAAAATAGTCAAAGTTAGGAGAGAAAAAAAACTTACATATAAAATAACATTCTAGACATAATAATAATGATGAATATTGAAAATCGTCTAATCAATGTATGTCTGATTATGATGTACTATTTTTGAATTTATATACAATAATAAATATATTTTTCTACCATATGATCAATATTGTCTCTATCAATCATCATGTACATGTTAATATTTATGTATTTTGTTTAAGATAAATAAATAATAGAAATTGAAAAATTTATAAAAAAATAATTTTTCAATTATATTAATGGATTGTTAATGAATACTTTTAACTTTATGATAGATCGATGAATGAGATTAATTAATATACTGTATTTTTGTTAAAATTCTCTAAGAGTTTATCTACTCATTCGTTAGTCTATATTATTTTATTATTTTTTTAATAAAATAAATTATTTTGTTTGTATATTAAAAAGAGAACAAGACAACTAATAGAGTTTTTAATAATTAATCGTTTTGAAATAGATAAATAACAAAGAATGAAAAGAAAAAACCAACAATAAAAAATAATATTATAAAAGAGAAAGAATGTAATCGAATTTTTAATAAAGATGTCTACAATTCATTGATATTCGATGTTGTTTTCTTGGCCATTGTATTTTTTGTTTTTATTTTTTACCTTTATTTTCATGCTTGGAACAATACTAATATGAAAGAAAATCATCAACTATAGAGATATGCGTCTGCTGTCTTTTGACATGAACAAAAAAGAAAAGATTCATCTTTTGTATTTATGTTTTTTTGTTTTCGTCACAAAACTGATATTTGTTATAAAAACATTTGACACTATCGTAGAGATTTTTATTGTCTATGTGACATAAATATGTAAATAATAAATTGACTGATAGAAAAATAATAAAAATAAAAAACAACAACAGATTAATAGAATGATAACAATATCAACATGAGATCACAATAATAAAGGTTAGTACTGAGGATGATTGTATCTAGATTAAACAGATTACTCCGTGACGATAGTCAGATAATCAGATGTTGTATGGAGTGGAATTTGTGTTTTCTAGATTTCATTTCGATGTATGGATTTAACTTTTTGATTTTCAGTTTATTCATATACAACATTCGTACATCTAACAATAGTAGAATATGAACTGACAAATTCTCTCTTCTCCCCTTTGTAGTCCCTATAAACATACTCTGGATACATTTCAGTAATAAAACGTTCTAAGTATCAGAATTAGAAAACTAATCTGTTTACCCTAGTGAATGTACTTGCATGTAGGTACTTGGTCAAGTATCCTCGCAAGTTTTGTCCAACGTTCTTGCGCTTTTTTGCAAGTAAACGAAGTACTTGCCAAGAAAATCAAATACTCGAATTACTTTATCTTCCTGTCCAGTCATTTGTCAAACACTTGCCCAAGTAACCTCCAAGTACCTGTGGAAGGTTCGACAAGTAAATCAAGTATCTGGCAAGTATTTTCAGGCATTTGTCGAGTAGTCTTTTTTGAAAATACTTATCAAGTGCTTTTCAAGTACTCATGAAAATTTGCAAGTAAACAAGTACATTCATCGTAGGTACATTCACTAGGGGAGTACTCAAATTTTAGAACATAAAAAGATTTTCTTGGTAATTTCTCGAACATTCCATTTCGTTCTTCAATTCAAGCAACACTGACATTCATTTGAGAACATATACATATATTAGCTATATTAGATATATATAAATATATATGTAATACGTGGGGCAGAAGAAACCAATCTCTCAGTATTTTGTGTTTTTCTTCTATTTCTTAAGCTCGATTGTGTTGATCTTCTTTTCATTAGATTTCCCGTTCAATTCTCTACAAAAATATATCGAGGCCTTATTCCAAAACATGATGGTGAAAAATGACAAGAGAAATTATACGAAGTACTAAAACGGACAAAAATAAGTTAAAAAACAGTTTTTCTGATTTTATTTGATAAAACGTTTGTGGGAGAAAAACAGTTGAAGTGGCCATCGTGTAGGCCTGAGAAATTGTGCGAGGTACCAGAATGGAGAAAAAGTTTAACGTACGTTTTCATACAGAATTAGTTTTTTTTTAATGGTTCCACAGGCATTAGAATGCAGTCCAAATATATTTTTGTGCAATTTAAAGTGCGCTCATTCTAATCGCATACAGCAAAATTTGTTTGAGTCATAATGTTTGACTCAAAGGTTTACTTCTTGGAGATTGAGCGGAAATAGCGAAAATTTGGACCTTTTTCTTTTTTCTTTTGCAAATACCTGATGACCTATATGGATCGTGACAGTACAAAACTATTGAAAAAAAGACTAGCACACATACACACACACACACACGAAAAACACATATTAAGGACCGGAAACAAAGTAGTGTAATTTACAATATAGATTGTCCTCTTTCTATTAACACAAAACCGACATAAGTACAAATAAAAATGGAAAATACATAAGTAATGCATAAAATAATCCTCTTTTGCAGGTACCTACAAAATCTTCACTTTTTACATTCATTAATATAAAATACTTCTGGAAAATTTTTAAGAAGAATACCTGACATGTCATACTCTAAAATTGAACAACAAGAAGAGTTACAGGCACCCCAGTTTATACATGTTTGTAGCACCGATGTATGCTCAAGAAATCTTTTTGATCTAAACAGGGTTTTGATAGAATTCTCCTTATTGCGTCAATCCTCTCTATACACACTTAAGTTAGCCTGTTTAAGCAACAATTCACCGTCAATACAATCTGATAGCGCTGCCAATTATCTGCCTCAATAGAGGACACATCTATTCGCCAAGAGTAATTCATCAAATATAAATGCAAAGAAAGTATCTGGTCATTCCGGACAAAACATAATTCGTTTGAAGTACTACTGCTGCAAATATTTTCCGTACGATCCAAACTTTTTTTTGTTTTAACCATAACTCAGCAGAGGAGGGTCTTTCAGCAAACGGTTTTCACCAAAATGTTGCCGATTCGTCGAAAAAAAATTTAAAATATTGGTTATTCTTGTCTGCAGGGCGACATCAATGCTCGAGTACCTTCTCGTCGGGTACCGAAGAGCTGCAAAAATTTTCCGTACGACTTATGTAATTGATTTTTTGACCCGTCAAACCACCTTCATTTTTGTAGATTTTTTACTTTTTACCATTTTCTTTATGACTTATTTATATTCATTACAAACGCCATTAAGCGAGCTTTAAAAGTACGGATCGCCTTTTTCTTGTATTTTGCTTCATCACTAAGAGAATACATTTTCTCTAAATCAGGAGAGAAAAAATCGGAATTCTGTCTGCAGTTCGCTGTTTTCTCAACTAGAACTCACTTTTATGCAATAAAAGCATCATATTCGGTGTCAGCATCGAAAACTGAGTCAAATGATATATGTTTCGAAATTTTTCGTTGATTTTCCTTTTTTGGTGAAAATCTCAGTAACTTTCAGGAAAAAACAAAAGTAATCGGTTTGAATAAAAAAGTACATAATTCGACTCAGTTTTCGAGGCTGACGCCAGGTATTTGCAAAAGAAAAAAGAAAAAAGGTCCAAATTTTCACTATTTTCGCTCAATCTCCAAGAAGTAAACCTTTGAGTCAAACATTATGACTCAAACAAATTTTGCTGTATGCGATTAGAATGAGCGCACTTTAAATTGCACAAAAATATATTTGGACTGCGTTCTAACGCTTGTGAAACCATTCGAAATAAGCTAATTCTACACATATGGTTTGCTGTTTTTTCACACTGATTTAACGTTATTAAATCCGACAGTTAAACAGCAGCTGTCTATTTGATTAAAAGAGAGAAGAAAGAAATGTTCTTTCAAATCTACGCTACCCAAGTGTACTTTTTTATCGCATGTCGCGACGCGAGTCTCTTTAAAAATTCGCGGGAGGATCACGTAAGGCGTTCGCTTTAAGACTCGCTTTTTGCGCTCATACGAAAATCGATGACTCTAAAGTGGTTTACTATAGTTACGCGTTTTCTGTCTAATATCAGTAAATGAGCCACGCTACTTTTACCGCGAACACAGACGAATGACGTTCGCGCGACGCCACTATACAAGACTATATTAATCATGTCGTAAGCTATTACTAAGATGTGATAAGATTTTGAAAATTCAGTGAGAGTTATATACCAGACGCATAAGCAAAACCGAGCGGTGGATAGGATTTGCATGGGAGTCACGCCGCGATCCTGTATCACATCACGATTGTAAGAGAAAAATGCGATTGCCACATGACAACTTTTTCTTACAGTGGTCACGTTCGGGTCGCGAAGTCGCACCGTGATCGCTGAAAAGTCTCTATTGTCGCTTCGCGACTGGAAATTACAAATTTTCAAAAAGTAAGAGTTCATTCACCAGGGCCGCGTTCACTACGTGAATGAAGCAAGAACGTGGACTTGGTCACCATTATATCGATGTTTAGCGCAAGTTTTGTGATTTTATTGTATTCACGCTCACCCTCACCCACACCTATAGCTAGTCGGCTAGTAGACATGAGTCATCGCGTGATATACTTTTGTGTGTAAAATATGAGTCATGAATTAATTTTTTTCATATTTTTTGTTATTATTTTTGATACAGTAAAATGTCGTTTATCGTGTTTGGAAGTGACATTATTCATTGCTTTTTCTGTTCGGGTATTTTCAAATCGTTTGAGTCCAGTTTGAGATTGTGATACATGATTATCGATTTTTTAAACGCTAGTGATAAGTTAAAGCCAAAAAGATTATACATTGTTCCGCTGCTTAGTAATGGACGTTTTGGTTGAATTATGTTTTCATAGTTGTATAGACTATCTGCTGAATCTAATCCTGCAAAATGGCAAAGTCACATCTGAGACGGT